AGCCGATTACTGCGTTACTTACATCCAATCAGGTCATTTGATGTGGAATTGGAAATGGATTAAACTGTCCTGTGTTACATATTCAAAAGCCAGGCTAACCCACACCAGCTCCAGGTCTATTTCTTTACTTTTCTTTCCTTTTCCAATTTTAATTTTCTAACTGTACATTCACAAACAATTGATTCTAGTAAGGTAATAGGGGATTCCCGTTAACCTGATGCCATGGTAGTTAGCCCAAAAAGAAATGCAACTGCTGGAATTTCCAGCTTTGTGGTATTTACTTGTAACATGATCTTACCCAGCCTATTCATCCAATGCAAACATATAAGGAGAACATTCTTTTACTATTATAGGAAACAGCATATATCCCAGAGCTAAACTTAGTACTCAAGCATTTTTAAAATCTTGCACAAACAGCCCTGGAAAGGATCTTTGAGTCCGACATTTCTGCCATCATGCAAACTTTTTTGTCCCCGTTCTTGCTCTTCTTTGTGATTCATTACTGTCCTTAGCATGCGCCTGCGCTTAGCAAAGAGAAACGAGGTCCTGAGTAAGTTCACTCAGCAGATCTTTACTCTCACAAGCACCTGGCAGAATGAATTTATGCGGTTCACAGGACTGGAAAGTGGGGCAAGCTCCAGTGCTCTCTGCAGCCATCTCATCTCACTGCAGACATGCAGTTATACAAGCAGATCTATTGTTATTGACTCTTATCATGACAAGATCCTCGCAGGCCTCTTGTAAGAGGGCCAGTGAAGGGATCTGGAGCTGAAATTATGTTCAGGATATATTGTGAATGTGTTTCTGAGTGTGTATCAGTTGTTGGCCCTGGACTGCTTAGGGATGTTCTAAAATCTCCCGTTGCAAAAGGTTACCATTATTTTTTCTTTCATTCTCCGAGTTTAACCTACTTTTATCCCAAGCAGGTTATATCATATCAGGTCTGTGAATGTCACTGCTCATGTGAAAACGAAGTGTAAAGTTCACAGAAACTAGGCCGTTGTTTTATTTTAGCTTGACCACCCCCAATTAAACCACCACCGCTTTGCACCTCCTGTCATGAACCCGAATGTTTGAGTTAACCCTTGTGTGAGCGTTGTATAAGCATCATGCGCGAAGCTGCCACACTTCACATCGATTTGATTGAATCATGAGTCACTCACATGAGCACATGTATGGAAGTATGCCGCCTGTAGCTCTGCCCATCATGGACGGGCTGCTCTCTGCTTCGTGAAACCAGAACAATGCAGGTATTGTCGATGTCTCACTGGCAACAAGTGTTTGTGGAAATTGAAAAAGGTGCGTTTGAAGAGGACAGCAGAAGAGGGAGTGGACAATATTTTTCACCGGGATGACTGCATTTTTCATGTTTGTTGTTATGGACAATGGTGTTTTATTCAGAGCCGTTTACTGAAAGAAATTCAAAGCTACTGGCGAAATAGACTTTATTTTAGTCAAAAAGCATTGAATGCACAGGAAATGTCACTGGTGTTTGGAGCTGTTTGGAAAGATACCTATGTATAGACAAAGAAAGAAGAAAGATTGTAAAACATATTTTCACAAAATTTATATGGAAAAATGATTAATGAGTTTATATGGTTCATGAGCCTGTCAAGTTGACATTGTGAACTGTCTAATGGTGCAACTGCTGGAATGTAAGGGCTAATAGAGGCTCAGGCCCAGACGGATGACAGCCCAAAGGGACCCCAAAGCTCAGAGAATCAAAAGTGTTCAGGGCGTTTCTGTGTGTGCGTACACAGGATGGGTTAGACAAAAACCAGGGACAACTATCACTCATACTGTAAGTAAAATTAGGATAAGCTCCAACCCTCCTGGCAAGAACTGTTGAAGATAAGACTTTGACATGTTTACAGCCCATAAAGACGTTATTCATGATGATTCCAGCCCAATGACATTAGATTTAGTTTGAGCTGATTCTGATCAAAAGTCATCTCAACGCATTTTAAAGACACTGCACAGTCTAAATGAATTTAAATTCAGTTTGTCCAATTTGCTTGAACATCTCCGGTGTTTCTCATGAAAATGCGATAGAAGAACTCAAACCAGCTCCAACATCTGTAGCCAAAACATTCACTCAGAAGGCACATAGCCATTAGTTATCTGAGTAAACTTGCGTCTTTAACAGTGGCACACATCCTCTTTAAAATACGTCCACGTTTTCAGTCACAGAAAACAAACTTATGTGTGGTCATCCTGTGGTGATTCTGCAGCCTACGTGCCCTGTTGCTCTGTACATAGAGGCAGGCCTACTGTGCATGTGAACTATGGCTGCTTGGAACAACGTGTCCCAAAAGCCAATAATGTGCCAAAGCTTGTGTGCTAAACCTGTAATTCACCCCCTCCAGTCTTGGCTGTTCTCTCTTCTTCGGCCAAGTTCTTATTGTTTTTCTTCCTGCCCGCCTTAATATATCTCAGAGGGTTCATTTAGTGTTCGGAGCAATGGAACGTGCCTCTCTGCTTTCAATATAATACGTCGAGCTCGTATGAGCCGTGCATTTTGCCACAATACTTACACGTCTAATTGAATCGTTGCCTCTTTTTTTCACGATAATGCCCCACATCTATGCTGCTATGATCCAGATGGGTCAGTAATAATGCAGATTACATCAAATAAGTGATCAAGTCATGTCCTCTGACAGTTTAAGCCACACTGAAATGGATTGCGGCTCATATTGTGCTGGTAGCCAGCATGAGACACACAGTCCCCGGGACACAAAGCACACAGCAGTGAGTCAGTGGGAATAGATTGCTTCTTTGTATCAAGTAAGCTCCAGCAGAGCAGTGGCAATAAACTATCCCTAACCCCGCTGTTTAGTGCCAAATATCACAAGAGTGCCGCGAATCACGCAGTCAAATCTGGAGGATTATTGTCTTGGCGACACGGAAATGATGCATAATTCATTTGCCTCTCTTTGTAGCCGCTGAACAACAGGAAGGTCATGAGTGCTTTTAGTACGGCAGCCAGCCTCTTTTACTGGAAAGGCTTTCTGAGCTGGATTTTTTTTTTCTTCTGTCGCTCTCTCTCTCTGTGCATTCAATTTTCCTACTGTAGTACAAAAAAAATAAATTCAGAGCCCACTTGTGGTCTTGAACAAGCAAAGGAGACGCTCTGAGGTTTGTGTGCCTAAAGGAGAAATCAGCCTGCCGTGGGAGTAAAAGTCATGTCAGCTTCATTCAGACATTTGCTGGAAGCGAAGATAGGGGAGGAAAATCACATCCTCTTTCAACCGAGGCCTTGTGTAAACACCCAAACCTGAAAGGCAGGGATGGAGCTGCCTTCCCCCCCGTATTTGGTATATCGTTGTTTGCAGTGATCGCATTATTCATATACTCTGAGGGTAGTAAAAATGATTAACAGAGTGCTGAGTCAGGAAAGCAGCATCTGCATCCACAATTCCTTCAGTCCTATAAATAATGATAAGACGGAAACAGAAAGTAGGACTGTGGATGTTTTCAAGAGCCCCTCAAGGTTCTAATACATAGAATAGTTTCCCTGCCCATTAAAGTATTAATAAATAAACATGACGGTGCATCAATAAGCATCTTTCTAAAAAAAAAACAGCATGGTTGTCATCCACAATGAGGCTCTCCCTTCCTCCGCAGCTCACACTGGAAGCCCTATTATCCTCTTATTTGTTTATCCGCCAATACTTTTATCCCCCTGCCCTTTTCCCATTTCGTTTGAAGTCGGCCCATCATAATTATTTGTTGTTTTCCTATCTTTTTGTTCAAATTGAAATGCTAAGAAGATAATTGCCGGAGGAATGTGGCGAGATCACAAAACAAAGCTGGTGGTGAATAAGAGCGCCCTGAGGGCTCAAGACTCCTGCAGGTCCCTGCTGGGAGGATACTCACCTTATAATGCCCCCAAAGCCTTGCAACTGCTCACATAATTGGTGGGAAGAGTATGGGATGGCCACCAATTTGAATGGCCAGTTATTGAGGTTCTAAACCAACATATAAACATTAGAATTCTAAAAGATTTCCTTACCTATTACATGGACTTAGATATCTGATTTTAGAGCTAAATCCGAACAGAGGTCATTGTGATGTCATGGCAGTTGTGGTGTTTTGGTCACCCAAAACTCTGCCCATGCTTAGGATCTTAGATATAAATTCTTGGATGTTTGGAATGCGAGTCCTTGAACATTCTTCTGAACAATTTGTATAGGTAGAGATGTTAAATTTGTGTTTTTTCTCGTGGATACGTGTCACATTTTTGCTGAAATCGATTAAAGATTACTGGTTGGAAATCTACAATGTAATTAGCATTTGTTGGGAAAAATGCTGCCATAGGTTATGTTACTAATTAATCAAGCAATCACTTGTTAATTTTGCATTCTAAATAAATAACCTTTAGAATTATGATGAAGTGATAATACTTTATCATTTTCTGACATTCCACAAATAAAATCACCTTATCAATAATAATGCCAAATACAAGTGGAATTTATAAGATTGAACAACTGTTTTTTCAGTCATAGTAAAAATAATTCAGCTTCCACATAGCTGAAAATTAAAGTAGATTTTTTTTAATAGCATAAAATGTTTCTGTATCTAAACTGGTGCTAAGACGTTATGCTGATGGGATCATCACTTCATAACTCACTCCACATTCTCAGTATTCAGGAAATGGACTACATCCTCCAGATTTATCACGATAAACCAAAGGATTTGTTCCAATTAGCCAACTTCACAATACATACTTGGACTTTTCTTTCAAAACTGTGACTTCTTGAAATAGTTATCTAATTAGCTCCTTGGGATAAGTTGCCAGTACTGTCATATAGTTTTACATAAAACTATAAAGTACTTTAAATTTCTGACACAGACGTCCGAGTTTGAGATACTATATCAAAATGTTGATTATCACCCATTACAGTTTGGCTTTGCATTAAACCTGCAATATTTTTCGCAAAAATAAAACCCCAAAAAAGCATCCTGAGTCTGAACCACATCTCCCTGAATCCATCGCTTCACGGACTCGACGGTGATTGGTTTCCGCTCAGACAACCTCCAGCCGACCAGCCTCCGTCTAGCCACCTTTGCCTGTCAATCAAACTGGCGACTCTAAGCCAATCGCATTTCGCGACATTCCAGAGGGGGCGGGACTCCGGCGCTTCCTCTCACAGCAGGACTGTTTCCTGGTCGTTGCTAGCAACCTGCCGCCTGCAACTTCGCCTGTCCACGTCCCCCCCCCCTCACCCTCACCCCCCCGCTCATGCACGGACGTTTCTCGGCCGGTGTGTTTTTCGACACGTGCGTGGGGATGGAGCCGCGTCGACCCTGAGAGCAGTGTGTGACCCCCGGCTCCGCGCGGTGCCCGCCCGGCCGCCCGGCGCTCCGTGTGTCCCTCCGCCTGCTCTCTGACCGCCCGGGGTGGCAGTCCGGCCTCCAGCCGCGGCTGCGAATTAACTTCCGTTTCCCAGCGTCGCCTCGCTCTGTTTTATTTCACGAAGATGGCAGCGAGGGGGACCCTGTGAACTAAATGACTGTCAGAAACATCGCCTCCATTTGTAATATGGTGAGTAGTACAACTCTCTCTGGGTCTCCTCGTTGCCGTCGATTTCCCCGCCGCCGCTGTGTTGAACCCAGTGTGTGTGTGTGTGTGTGTAGAAGATGATGATGTTAATGGTTCAGTCGCCTCCCACCTGCGCCCAGAGGTTGCCCGTCAAAACTCACCCCTACACACTTCGAACAGTCTGCGCACAGTTCAGTGTGTCACACACACATACACAACCCGGCGTGTTGTGTCGCAGCCTAAAGAGACAACACAATGACCTAATTGTTGAGCTGTCACCTGTGATTGACGGGAGGGGGGGAGAGGGGGGGGGGGGGGGGTAGTACGCTGACAGCTTGTAGGGGGTTGCGTAATGTGGCGCTGTGGCGGAGCAGGAATCAGCACTAATCTGTGTTTACGTTGCGTTTAGGGGCAGGGGGGAGAGTGGGAAAGCGCAGGCAGGCTGGGCGCCCACGTTAATGCCAATGGCTTTTGCTTTATTTAGCCAGGACGCTGATGTCGAAAGCCTCCGAAGAGCTCCCGTCGAGCTCCACGGTATTACACAGAATCCCCGTGTGGCTTTCTGCGTTGTGCATCGCGTAGCTCTGTCAGACTTAATTTGGCCCTCTATACTGAGGGTTTACACACGTTGGAGTAGAAAGGATGCACCACTTGACAACTGTTATTTGCTGCAGGGTTTGGCAGCTTTATTTCAAGTCTAAACAGTAATATGGCCCCCCCCCCCCACACACAAGAGACTAAAAACTATCAAGAAATCTTTTGATGTTTGACAATAATTGTATCTTATGAGTGTTTGGTTTGATGGAAAAGGTCCAGAGCAGTTCTTTGCTGCTGTCAATGAATCATAGTGTAACAAAAAAAAAACACTTACACTCTTACAGCAAGCCAGTTGACAGCAATCCTGTCCTGGATCCGTTGGTAATTATTTCCGGCCATTTCCATTTAAACACTTGTATGTGCATTGCCAAAGTCGAGGGATGAACATTGTTCTTAAGCACTTTTCACAAGAGCAGCCTGGTATGTAGTTAGTTTCTATAAAACAGAAGCAACTTTAAAGACACTCCTCTATGTACCGAGTGTGTGCTCAACAAGACTCATGCTGAAGATGCTGAAACATGAACTTAGTTCATGTTTCAGCATCTTTTTCTGAGAAAAGCCACGCTGTAGGTGGACATTAATACAGCTGAATTCTTCCAAATTGGCACTGGTATATATGTGCTTTCTATCATCAGATGATTCAAAGTTACCATTTCATAAATTTGAATTAAATTACAGCCACAAAATCTCCAGTCCATCCTGCAGTTGATAGCTCGTTTCTGGTGCAGTGCGTGCATACAGAGAAAGTGGATTCACCTGAACAGCCAACTCAACCCTCAAAATAATCCCTCTGAGTTGCTATTGTCTGCTGCTTAAAGCCACTTTGTGTCTGTAAGGGCGAACCATTATGTGTCCTGGTACACTATCGACGACCACCTACTTAAGTAACATGTCTCATACCCTCTTGTTTGGACAGTCTCAATGATAATTGTGGGTTAATGGGTAGTTTTTTGGACCAAGTGGGCAAATGCTGCTTTGCAAAATAGGAGCCAATCGGGAGTGTTGTTCTGTAGTTTGCATAAAGAGTTTTAGCACGCACACGCACCACCCAGGACAAATACAGACGCATCCTCATCTCAGAAATTGACTATGTGTTAATGGCAGGCGTAAACAGGGCTGATAGGCATGTGCTTTTTAGAAGGCAATAACGGGAGAAGCGTGCGAGCTTAAAAGGGGCTTAACCCTTTGCTCTTGCCTTATATAATCGCTGCATCACACTTTACCAGCAGGTCAAAGCAAATCAAAAAACAGTTTCAAACAACAGCTCAAACCGAAACCAGCTGCATGGGATGTCTTCGAGATTGAAAAGGGTTTGCATTCCATACGTTCCCCCCCCCCCCCCCACCCCCCCACTCACACACACACACACACACACACACACACACACACACTCAGGTTAGATGTAGTTTTTCCTTGTATTTAGGTCCTATTGAGTTACGTTTTCCCAGAGTTTGCCAGGACAGAGTGAATGCACTGTGCCTAAACCTCCACATGCACTGCACATAATTTGGACTGGAAGCAGTTAATCAGACAAAAGGCTATTCAGAGGCTGCTTTGACAGGCACAGATGACAGCCATTTAAAGAGTCAAAGCCTTTCCTGATCTGAATTGTCCCCTGTGTGCGTGGAGCCGAGCGAAAAGGCACCAGCAAGACATTAGTGCTCCTACTCCCAAATCAGGAGCCGCATACTTCTGACTTTTGACTCGGCTCCGCCGTTTCAAAGCACATCCATTTCCTACACTGACAAGAAGTGTTTTGTACAGTTTACCCAGAAGCTGATACTATAAAAGTTGACTGAGATAATCTTCCCGCCAGTTACAGTCTCTCAGGAATGAACTCATCTCTCCCCGCAGCTTTGCAGCTTAGCCAGCTGCGCTTTGACTGCATTTGGGTACAAACCAGACCAGACACAAGAGGCTTTCATCTAAGTATGCAATAACACACACGGGTTCTGCTGGGGCATCCTGACCACTGCTCTCGTGTTTTGCTCTCGCAGGGCACCAATGCCTCCGCTCTGGAGAAAGACATCGGCCCGGAGCAATTCCCAATCAATGAGCACTACTTTGGATTGGTCAATGTGAGTAGCCCTAAATCCTCTCGTGCATTAACAGCAGCCGCCGCCAAAAACAACACCGGTGTCCTTTTTCAAAACAAAGTGCCACGGGACCGAGGTGAGTCACGCCCGCTTTCTGGACAGCTGCCGTGGAAGGCAACAGCGCTGGCTGCCAGTCAGGGGACGTTCTGCCTCTCACATGTGCTGTAAACATTTACCAGGCCAGGCCCCGGGCCTCTGTGTCAGATCAAAACAAGAGAGAGGACCCCGCCGTTTCTTAATAATCTTTCAGCTCTGTTTTTTTTCTCTCTCTCTCTCTCTCTCTCCCAATCCATGTTTCTTTTGCTTTTACTCTCAGTTTGGAAACACATGTTACTGTAACTCGGTGCTGCAGGCCCTCTACTTCTGCCGGCCTTTCCGGGAGAATGTGCTGGCCTACAAAGCCCAGCAGAAGAAGAAGGAGAACCTGCTCACCTGCCTGGCTGACCTCTTCCATTCCATCGCCACGCAGAAGAAGAAAGTGGGCGTCATCCCGCCCAAGAAGTTCATCTCCCGGCTGCGGAAGGAGAACGGTGAGAGGGCAAAGCGTGGCAAAAAGGCAGGAGCGGGCAGACAGTGTTCCGGGGAAACCAGGCTTATTGTCATTTCCCCGCTGTAAGCCGCACAGAAAAGGTTTTGTGTGCGTGCGGCCTGGAGTTGGCTCGCGCTGAATTCGGACCCTGAGATTTGTGGTTTTCTTTTGTGTGCTGGAGGCAGTGCTGGCTCAGGTCGGGCTTTGATGAAGCAGAAGTCTGCGGTGAGAGCCAGGTGCATGCGGATGGCAAGGTCACCCAGAGCAGAGCCCACAAACAGGCCGGCTGTTCTCCGCTCTCCATGTCGAGCAAAGTCTTTATGTGAACGAACAATGTGATCTCTGTCGGGAGCCGGTTTTGGCCCGGCTATCTCTTCCCTGGACATTTTTCTTTTTTCGTTATTTTTTTCTTCTTCTTCTGCTGCTCCTCCTCCAACCAACACAAGTACTTAGTTTCCACCTTTCACATTTAAAGCACTCAGAACAGGAGTGCATAAGGACGTTTAAGGCAACAGCTAATTGTTATTATTATTATATTTAGATGATCAACAGTGGATCTGTCAAATGAACGCTAACATTGTTAACCTATGCCATTTAATGTATAAAGCCTCTCTTACGTTATACAAAAAAACGGTTGGATTTACATGACTGTTTTGGACTGGGTTTGGAAGGTACAGAAACACAATTTGATTCAATGTTCACCTTATACATTTGCGGTCACTGCCGGTGGTTCTCCAACTCAGAAATCCTCTTATCCTAAATCCAAGGGACACTTATTGATTCTTGAAATCTGAAACTTTAATCTAAAAAAAACTTCTACACACTGGGACATCACTGCCATTTTGTTTTCTTCTCCTCTCTTTTCCCCCCCCTCCAGATCTGTTTGACAACTACATGCAACAGGATGCCCACGAATTCCTCAACTACCTGCTGAACACGGTGGCGGACATCCTGCAGGAGGAGAAGAAGCAGGAGAAGCAGAACGGGCGTCTGAAGAACAACGGCACGGCCGTCGCCACCGACAACGAGATGGAGAACAAGGCGGAGCCCACGTGGGTGCACGACATCTTCCAAGGCACACTGACCAACGAGACGCGCTGCCTCAACTGTGAAACGGTACACGGCGGCCGGCTGCCTCGTGTGTGTGTGTGTGTGTGTGTGTGGGTGTTTTTGTTCTCGTGGAAGGAGCTTCTTATGTCACCCTGAAAAAGAGACCTCTCCTCAAGACAAAAAATAAAGAGGCCTGGTCCGTGGCCCTGACGTGGGCTGAGCCCCCCGCATACGTCAGCGCCGTTCCAGGCTTTTGTCCTCACTTTTCAGGCGGTGAAGAGTGGATAGGGTTGCCCTGAACTACCCGCCTGCAAACACCCAGGCTGCATGTCAAAGGCTCCCCGGCCAAATAAGCATTTCAAAGGCCGGCCGCCAGGATTTGTGTGTAACTGTAATTGTGGGGGGGCGGCTGTGCGGGCGCTGCACTGCAGGTTTATCCCCACGGAAATCGGCGTGCGAGTAAACGGGGCTTTTCCTCCCGCTGTCCTCCAGGTGAGCAGCAAGGACGAGGACTTTCTGGATCTCTCGGTGGATGTGGAGCAGAACACATCAATAACCCACTGTCTCAGGTAATTTGAGCTCATTGTGCGATGAGTCAAAGCCCAAAGAGGCTGGCGGTCCCCCTGTGGCCGGAGCAGGACTAAACAGTGGTGCCTCCTGTTTTTACGCTCTCTCCTCCAGGGACTTCAGCAACACAGAGACTTTGTGCAGTGAATATAAATACTACTGTGAAACGTGCTGCAGCAAGCAGGAAGCACAGAAACGGTGAGCGAGCGGCAGAAATGTTGCAATGGCGCGATAAGCGATAAGGGGCCGCTCCAGACATTGCCCGTTTCTCTGCAGGATGCGCGTGAAGAAGCTTCCGATGATCCTGGCGCTCCACCTCAAGAGGTTCAAGTACATGGAGCAGCTGCACCGCTACACCAAACTGTCCTACCGAGTGGTTTTCCCTCTCGAGCTGCGCCTGTTCAACACATCCGGGGACGCGGTCAACCTGGACCGCATGTACGACCTGGTGGCGGTGGTGGTCCACTGTGGAAGGTAGGAAAATACTAATCCCAGAGCAGTCACTCTGCATTAAGCCAGTGCCTGACAAGCCTCTCCAATAAGCCTTTCAGCAGTACAGGCGTCAGTTTATGGTCTTTTGTATCTTTACAGTTATGTCAAGCCACTTTTACCCTCTTCACTAAATCTAAGGAGACGTGAAGCGTTTTCCGTACTCAAGGGGCAAAAAAAACCATACAATATAATTTTGTTCCGTGTGAATCTGCATGTTTAAACCCCTCTCTGTTCTCATTACCACTGACCACCACTATGAAGTCTTTGCTGAGCTGCCTTTTATGTAATGAGACTGTTTTCTCATTCAGCCTTTGGATCTGCTGAAAACTGATCTTATTAGAATAATGAGATCAATTATTAGGAATCTTAAATGCACACACTGACACTTTCAACCTCTGAACTCACAACAGCTCAAAGGTGGAGCTGCTTTGTGTGTTGCTTTGAGGTGGGTGCACATCTGGCTAACCACTGGAAAAGTGGCATTTTTTTTTATTTATTTTGTTTCAATCCATTGTTCTGCTCCTAAAAGGTGACTTCAGTCTATTTCCACAGAATGCTGATGCAACATTTTGAGTCAGCTTTCAAATATTTTTTCTACGTTTTTAAAGAAAAGCATCTTTTCAAGAAAGCTACGAGTCTTTTCAGGGCAGAAGGTGTTTAGACCGCCGAACGAACGCTGGCATCCTCTGATCCAGTTAGCATGTTGTCACCAAACAGGAACAGCTCACAATAGAACGCTCCTGTTTGATCTGGCGTTTCTTCTGCACTAACGACAGGAATGTGTGGGAGATTGTAGATGGAAACATCTGTACGGCCGAGTCATTGTGCGTCCCTTGTCTCCTCCTATAGTGGCCCCAACAGAGGGCATTACATCACCATAGTGAAGAGTCATGGCTTCTGGCTGCTGTTTGACGATGACATCGTGGAGGTGGGTAGCTGGACCCGCTGTGGCCGGCCGGAGGTTTCTTGACCATGTTTGTCTTTCCCGTATCCACTGTTACTCCCAGTGAAGCTGACCTCACTTCTGTTGTTCAGAAAATCGACGCCCAGGCCATTGAGGAGTTTTACGGCCTTACCTCAGACATTTCCAAGAACTCCGAGTCGGGATACATCCTCTTCTACCAGTCCAGGGAGTGACGCTGACCGGTGGATCAGTGGCGTGGGAGACGACTGAAAAGGAGAAAAGACCTTTTTCTTCTACCTTCTGCATAGCGGGCTTAGACTCCTGCCATCTCCTCCTCATCCTCCTTTCTGACACACGTGCCAATCCTCTGTCCTCATCTCATCATCTGGGTTTAACCTATGCGTCTCCTCTTTTTCTCTTTCCCTTTCTCTGTGTCGTTTCACTCTTGTCTTTTAGTCACCTGCATTCGGGCGGCACTTTAAAACAAAAGCAAAAACGCTCAACGGCATGATAGAAACAAAGTTTAAAAAAAACAACAAAAAAAGGAACACCAAGCTGAGGCTTGGCATTGCTGCTGGGAGAAAGCTGCAGAGCTGAGGCGTCTGGTGCACAAACCAGAAGTTTGTAGAGAATTGTACGATATCAGTTGTGTGTGTATATAAGGTTTTCTTTCATTATGTCCAATCAGAGTTCCTTTCATTGGGCCTACAGCCTCCCCCTTGTATGTCCAGTCCTTTGTCGCGTCCATGTCCCCAACGGGTGCATGAGACCTGAACAAAACTTGGAGACAAACACTGTATATTATTATTATTATTATTATTATTATTATTATGAAAGATTTGAAGCTGAACAAAAACAAAACTAATTGAAAACCAGCTAAAATTTGAAACGTCCTTCGGATCTTAAAAAGATCAGAACTTTTAACACTATAATTGAGCCGCAGACTTAAGACAACTCATGAAAAGCTGCTGAGACTTTATATTTTTATTCAGAAGGTGAAACCCCTATTTATTGAAAATGAGCATATTTATTGTTATTTTTTTTAATGTTAGATGAAAGATAATGAAGGCGTGCATAAGCTCCTAGATTGAAGGACATTGTGTACATAAAAACACAACTTTATAGGACAGCTGAAGCACTTTGAAGTGCGCGTGTTAAATAAAAGAATAGACATTTAATACAATTTTAAAGGCAAACATCCCACAACTGCCTGATAATTTCATTTGTTTAGTTTTTTCAAATTCCGCAATGCACAATGAAGAAATCCAGTTTGGAAACTTAATTAATTTGTGAATTTAATTATGAGTAGCTACTCATCTTCGGTTCTAACCACGCGCAAAACACACTACAGCATACATTCATTAATGAAGGAGAAAGTGCACTCTGACAATTTTACAGTTTTACTTATCAGGATATAAGAGGACAGAATTCCTCTTCATCGGATTTTAGAGAAAACCTCTGTCAAACAACATGCTGCACTGTGATTCTTATCATTCTAAGCAGAAACTGAACCAAAATGTAGAATGAGTGTGAAAAACTCTGTACAGCCGGTCCTTCATGAGGCTGAAGAGCCACCTTTATCAGCGCTGTCCACTCACATCTGTCCAGATCTCCTGGGCTTTGTTCAGATGGAACTTTGGAAATGTAGCTGCAATCTTTTTTTCCTCTTTTTAAAGGGAGGGGACGTCCTTTTCCAAACAAGCCATACTCATGTAGTCTTTTTCTAATGGGACTATTATGAATTTGAACATTTAGCATGCCCTGGAAAAGCCTTCAGGCTATGAGACCTGGCTCTTTTTTTAAGGCTTTTCTGCGCAGTCTTAACTTTTTTTCCCACTGTTTGAAGTTTCAAAAAGGGCCTCCTAACCTGTCCCATGCTGATGGGGGGGCAGCAGCTTCTTTTCTCCGCGTTCCATGACATTGAGGAAACCCGCACCTGGATGCTCCACCGCAGCAAACTCCTCCTTTCATTAAGCTGCTGCTTCTCTAAATTCTCAGCAGGCTGTTCAGAATGTACACAATTTTTCACACTCCGCCTACAATTTACTGCTTAGCCTTTGTTGAATAGCGATTATGTATATTTTGTTGGTCATCTGAGGTCCTACTTAATAGATTTCAAGATGTTGAAAGGAATAGTTTTTCATTCCTGTGCCGTGACACTTCAAACGTTTGTATATTCCCTTTTTTTTTTCTTACTAAATTGTATCTTATTTTGTTTTCAACCATCCATAGCTCTGTGTCCCCCCCCAGTCCTATATTTACCTACATCTCAACAGCTCTTACTGTTAGTTTGTCTCTGGCTTTGATCATATAAGACGTGTTTCATATACAAGACGTGTTTCATATGTATACACTGGAATCCTGAACTCCCAGAGTTTCAATTGGAAAAACCCGGTTAGCACGACATCCTTTGTACTGTAGATCCCCCCCCCCCCCCAAGGGGTTTTCTGGCTTTTCGCCCTGTAGAGCAGCACAACATCAACCATGTTTCCACACGAGTTAACATTCCTACCTGCTGCACATCAGTGCAAATGACCATTTCAAAGACATCTCAGTATACGTAAGACATAGGCGTAGAACTATTTGTTAGGTTAGTCTGTGTTTGCGTTGATACGGCAGAGGCAGACGTGTTCAGTACACTCGTCCCGCCGTCTCCTCTGGTTTTTCTGTTACTGGATGAAGTTGCAAGGAATATGTGCCAAACAGGATCCAATGCTGACTTTGCGAACAGTCTTCGACAAAGCATTATTTTTCTTTTTCAAGATTTAACTGTACATAAATCTTATGCAGAAAAAAACACTTCTGAAAATAGGAAAATATTTTTTTAAAAGATCTTAAAAGACTCCCTTGGCAGCAGTTTTAGCCCAAAGCTGGCCATTAGCGAAGAAAAATTTTACAATCGCAACAGCATAATCAGTTAGAGGAACTTCCAGACCCCCCCCCCCCCCCCCCTCCCACCTTGTTGTTACGACTAGTTTTAACCACGTGGGAGGATAGAATAGCGGCAGGGGCAGGGGGAGACTGGGAGGAGAAAAGAGACTTTCAAACGCACCGATCTTCCATTAACACTTATGCACTCGCCCCCACTGAGACCATCAGTCGTTGCACTTGCTCCCGTGATAGCGTTTTAGCCGAGAGGGCTCAGGTGCAAAGATTCCTGCACCAGCTTGGACCTGACTGAGTCTCTGTGGGGCGAAGAGGAGACGACTCGGCCTCCGTTGGGAGGTGAATTGCAAGTGCACTTTATTAGTGATGAGCTTCAATGCTTTAATACGACAAACCACAGCCTAATACACTCATGTTGAGTTTTGTTTTTTCTTCTGTTCAATAAAAAACCTATCCAATGAGTTTGTGTGGAATTTGGTTTTATCCTAACACACTTGGACCATGAACTCATCACAGGTTAAACATGGAAATCTGACCATGGAAACACCTGACCAAAACCAACAATCTCACCTAGATAAAGGCAACAAAAACTGGACTTTCTTCTCAGATATTTAGGATAGTCCATAGGCAGACCATCAATGTTTCTATAAATGGGGAAAAAATAACTATCTCTATATTTATAAAGCATTAACATACCTAGCTAGAGAATCTGAAGTCTCCGATTACACGCCTGTGATTTGGTCAACTGCAGCTCTAACTCTTAAAATTCCTGGATGTGAATCAAGTACTTGGATGGCAGGCAACCAAGATGAAAGCCTAAGCTTTCCAATAAGAGAATTACAGCAGAGGTCTCTAATAAACATGAAAACAAAGGCCATGCCTTTTGGAATCATGTCTTCTGGGCAGGTGACTCAAGGAATGAAATGGCTGGCACTGGTTATAGTTGAAAGTTCGGTTCAGATTAAAAACAGCTTTTCAAACATGTTGGATAAAAATCGTATGGCTTTCATGTATTTCCTTGGAGACAATGTAGCAAATTAACTTAAAAGTGCTTTATATGTTACAACAAACAAATGGGGTTATAGTTGGATTTCTACCAGTCAGGCCTAATGAACTGGGAAGCAAAAGAGACAAACACTCACACTTTCTCACACTCAGTAATTGGGTCACTTTAGAATCAACAAATAACCCAACAAGCTTGTCCAGTGAAACAGGAATGTGCCCTATTAGTGTCTGAGATTCCGATAGCTGTGATGTGAGAACACAAAGACTAAAAAACAAAAAAATCTAAATATCAGAGTTTGTTGTCACGCCCACGTACACAAAAATGCAAATGTTCTGTCAAAGGTCTATAAATGTGAAAAAATAAGAAAAACTAAGGAATGGGTTACAAAAAACCCATCTGAAAACTTTAATTAAAGTAAACCGATTAAATTTTCCAATTTAATTTCAAAAATGTAGCCATGAGGCATCTTTAAGGACACCAGTGACTCACAAAGGATTTTGATTACACATGATTACGATAATCATCTGGATTGTGAACTCGCCGCTTTGACTGCCCACTCTCGTCTCATGACCAGCACGTGTGGAAAAGCTGCTTGATCATCACATAGACAGATCATTTAAGTTCACATCTTATTGAAAAGATAGTGTTCTATGACGAGTCAGAAGAACCAGGTGTGTGCTACTCGCTTTAACATGCAGGGACTGGTGCCGTCGCATGATGAAAGTAACACGTGGAGACAAAAAGTACTGTGATGTTTTGTTTGTCAAAGCTATCACAGATAAGCCGCAGATTAAGTTGTTTCTGTCTGGAGTCATTATTTGGGAGTGGAGACCAAAGCAATGCTCTCTGCAAATGTCCTGAATCTTTTCATTCAGTTGGAAAAAAAGGCAAAAAAATAAAAGGAATGAGCACTTTTCTAGTTGTAAGACAAGCTGAAATTTGTATCTTTCTGTGGGGTCCATTTATTCTTCGCAGCCCTGTTAAACTACTTTTAATTTTGTCAAAGGTTCAAGGAATCGTTTTGCGTCGGGGTGCTGTTGTTTTTGTTCTGAGGAAATAGGTTTAACTTTGAGAGTAGTTTGAAGCAAACGTTTTTTCATCTATGTGTTTTCATTTGCTTTGTCCTTTCCTATGTAATCAGTTTATGTTGCAAATTCACTTGGTTGGAACCGTCCCATAGTTTTCGTAGTCTCATAACAAGTCTTTAAGGATGGGATGTGCCACCAAAAGCAAGAAAACAGGCTTGAGGTGAAGTATAATCAGAAATACAACATCCACAAATTATGAGTGAAGAGGAAAAGAAGATTGAGGATTAGCTATTTTGAGAAAGATTAGTATCATAAACTAAGAGGAGATCAAATACATGAAGGTTCGAGACAGTAATAAGAAAGATTTGAAGGCTGCACTTCAAAGAGGAGTGGGCCAGTAATTGTGAAAGTTCGATATGTTTCATTTGTGTATTTAATTAAAATTTTTCAAATGAAAATATTCAGTATTTAAAAAAAAATAGTTTGTTCAAACTTTCAAAATAGATTTGAGATTCCACCATTCTAAACAACAATGTACATTTAAAGCTTTATTTGTGCTGAACACTACTACATCACGTCCGGATTACCTATGAATTTGTGGCCTAAATTGTAATCAGTATGTCATCGCTGTTTTGGCAGAACAGCCTCCTGCTTCGCCTTTCTGGGGATGATAAATGTTAACTATCGCGTATTTAGGGTATTTTGTAAGAGCGGTGTCTGAGTTTATCTTTTCCCGCAATCTTGTCATTTTTCAGAAATGGAGTTCCGGAGAAGCCTTACTGGTGGTCCCTGAAATGACAATGATGTAATTGTGTGTTTCTTTGAAACTGTCTCAGGCTCTTGACAGGAACACGCTCCTGTCCGAGAATGAGTTGCTCAGAAACGCACGAACACAACACACACGCAAAGTTTGTTGCAAAAAGTAAAATTTCCTGCTCCACACATTTTGCAAGTGTGAGTGTATCTTCCTAGAAATGGAACGTGTGTGTGTGTGTTTGTGAGTACTCATTTAATTAGTTTCATATGGGACTTTTAGCTGGCTTTGTCACCAATCAGAAGAAATGTAGAGATGTAGAAATGGTTTGACTGATAAGAATCAAGGTTAAACTGGATTCAAGCTGTTAAGAGGTTCTCAATATACATAATCTATACAAGATCTTTGTAAGAAAAAGTGTTTATACTGGCGTGTGTATTAACAGAAAGGGATATTTTCAAGGGGGGAGCTCAGTATTCCTCTATGTGTGTGAAACCTTTTACATATCTACTTATTTTTGTAAGTGAGGAATAATCTTACAACGTTCTATAAAAGCTAAACAAGAAAAGAAAAGAGGCAGGAGCCACTCCTCATCAACTCTACGCCTCAGCTGAAGATAACTGAAGATCACATGCAAAAGCTTATTATCAGAACAGTTTACCAAATATAACCATGCGGCCTCAGTAACAGCTATTTTGGTGACCACCGCATCGGAAAAGGTTAAAAATAACCCGAGTCATTCTTAGACAAGACCTCTAAAAATAGATAAATTCCTTTGCAGAACAAGGAGGAGTCATAACTTCCAGAAAGTCCTTATGGTCCTCCATCTGCTATCTAAACAACCACGCGTTAGCTGGTCTCCCAGCCGGCCTCTTTCTTATCCGCTCTGCCTAAAAAACTCTCACACGCAACACTTACCATTTGTGTCTACAGAACACAGACATCACAGCTCATCAGCGTTTGGCAAACCTAAAATAATATCAATCATTACTGTGCGGGCTTTATGCATGCCGTCTTTATGCCCCACATCATAAAATGTGCACAGGCAGCAAAGCTGCTGTAAACTTCAAATGTCAGTCTCGTTGGAATCATAACTGGGACATTTACGTAAGCCTCCGAATTCTGTCCTCGTCAACACAGTCGTTCACCAACAAACACTAATCTGCACGCTGATCTAGTTT